GCGGGCAGGGGTTCCCTGGGCCTGCCTGCCACATCCCTCCCTCCATCGTGTGCCCCCCTGCCCATGTCCAGAGACGTGGCTCTGCCGTTTCAGCGCACTCACCTGGCGGAAAACTCTTTGCTTTTTTTAGTGCCTGTATGTTTTCTACTGGGTTACTGTGCTGAAGCAGCTCAGTGATAGGGCAAAGAAGCGTAAGCTGAGGAGTGGGACTGGAGCAGTAAATCATAGAGTCATAGAAACGTAGAATCATTTGGTTGGAAAAGACCTTTAAGATCATGGAGTACAACCGTACCCGTCCACTACTAAATGTCTCTAAGCACCTCGTCTACCCATCTTTTAAATACCTCCAGCGATGGGGACTCGACTACTTCCATGGGCAGCCCATTCCAGCCCCTGATAACCTTTTCAGTGAAGAAAGTTTTCCTAATATCTAATCTAAACCTCCCCTGGCGCACCTTGAGGCTGTTTCCTCTCATCCTAATCCATAGAGTGCTGAGGGATTGCAGCCTGTGCCCCTCATACAGAAGCCATTCCCCTTCTTTGTTTTCATCCTTTGCTGAATCTTTTCTGTTTATACTTCTCTTCAGACGAAGCGGGCAAAACTCCATGCGATAGTCAAGCAGCACTGTCCTGCTTTTGTCTCTTATCTTTTTCTTACCATTTCCAAACATTGCATGGGTTCCTTTTTACTTCCTGGCCTGTTATTTTCAAAGAGCTATGAACAAAAGGTCTGAAACCTCTTTCCTGAGTGGAGTTGCTATTTTACCATACCTATGGTGAGGGTCACCTTCCATGGGCGCGTCACTTTGCATGTCTGTATATTAAATTTCACTTGTCATTTATCACCCTGTCACATTAAAAGTGCTATCAAGAGATACAACTGAGCTAATCTAACTTGCTACTGAAATAGGTGGTCCCACTCTTCCTTCTCTCTAGGCTTCCACCCCATCCCTGGATGTACAATTCTCCCTCCCTCCCTGATTTTTGTATGGCTTTGTCACTGATGTGACCTCTCAGCAAGTCGATTCAGCTCACTAGGCCAACAGAAAAGTGTTTCCTTTTACTAAGTCTTTCGAAATTCTTGATTGCCAGTTTAAGATTTGACTGTTCAGATTAATTTTATACTGTCTGCAAACTGTCCTCATAGCATTAAACTTCTCCATACAGTTCCTGAAGATGTTGAACAGCAGAGATTTTTGTGGGTTCTGGGAATTGCTTTATATTGTGTAATCTATTGATGACTTTCCTTTCTTTTAGACCTTTTAAAATCCTTTTTCTTTTATTCCATATGAATACACTTTGAGAGCCTATGGTGAAAGACCAGGTCAAAACCTTTTGAAAATCCAGGTATGTAATATTATCAGTCATCCTTATCTACATAAAAATCACTCCTGGAACCTCTAATGGGTTTGCAAAACATGACAGCCTCCTTGATATGTAATGCTGATTCTTCTCCAACATGTTGTTCAGTCTGCTAATTCTATTCTTTATTATAGTTTTCAGCAAGTTGCCTGGCACAGACGTCAAACACTGATTGGGGTGAGCCCAGGAGTCCTTTCAACAGTCACATTTTCCACCTTCCATTCTTCTGGCACTGTAGCATTTAAGACAGATTTAAGCAATGAGTTGCATAAAGCAGCAGTTTAATTTTCTTCAAAATTCATGGCTTTATACCATCTGATCTCTGCTATCACAGTGAGGTCTTAGGGAACATAAAAAAATAGGATAGAAAAATAATGCAGAAAATATTAAAACAACATTATATGAACTGCTGTACTCTCAGCATGTCCCATTCCAGACTTGCTTTTGACTTTAAAGTAGTCTAGGCACAGAGATTTCCAGATGTAAATCTGTACTTGTAGGATTAGATTCTGTTGGTTACGAGACACTGACCAGAAATATGCACCAAATTTCACAAATTTTGAGAAAAGTGATTAAAACTACCACTAGAAGGTGTTTGTTAAAGACTAAAAACCAAAAACCTATTTGCCAGGTAATAGAACCTTAGTCAATTATTCCAAATTCTGATGAGTGTCAGTTAGTCCAGCTTCCTTACCTAGTCCCAAAACAAAACCCAAGGTTGTGTTTGCCTTCCAGTGCAAATGGGTGCGTAGCATGTAGCCAAGCTGCAGAAGTGTAGTGGAAGCAGCTGTAACCGAGCAAAGTTCCTTTAGTTCCTTACAAAGTTCCTTACATTTGTGGGTACCAA